CCGCGTGCGACGTCGGCGGCCGCGAGCGCGTCCCGGTAGTAGTACGTAAACTGCGTCGGGAAGGGAAGCACCAACCGTGCTTGCGGGGGCGTCAGTGAATGGTTCGAACCATTATTCGTTGATGAACTAAAGAAAACGATATGTGGTGATTTTGTGGAAGTTTATGCTCATAATAGTTGGATCCATCTAGTCTTCATTAGTCATACAGGTAAGTGTTGTGATATTTTCAAAGTATATTTGTGATTTATTATGTCTTTGTTGAAAACTGATTGATGCACACATAAATACAATATGCGGACATACATATATATATATATATATATATATATATATATATATATATATATATAGATAGATAGATAGATAGATAGATAGATAGATAGATACACATAGATAGAGTGAACATATATCCATGGTCCATATAATAATTGATTTATAAACAAGAGGGGTACTTATGTCGACATTACATTGATAAACTAGCCAACAGGTTAGAACAAGCTTCATCTTCTAATAACTGCTAAAAAATATCGACAATTTCCTCACATTTTAGAAACCACAATCATGAAACGAGTCTTATTCCCAGAGAAACCGTTCAATTCGATATTCGCTCTGTTGGGATTGAAGTCGCTCGTGTAAGGGATTAAGAAACCTCAATTCAGGGATCAGGTTCTTGTGAGAGAGCGAGATGAAAGGTCGGAACCCATATCAGCATCCGGGGCTTAATGGAAGGCGAAGGAGAGTGTTCAAAGATGTGTTATTAGTCCAAAGGCGTGACGTCATAGCGTCTTTATTTGAGGTTGAATTTGATATCGATTTTAGGTATGTTTTGAGTAATTTTTTAAAAATCTGATTTCTATTGCATTTTCATTACGGTTTTCTATTAATGGGAATTAGTGTATCACATTAAGTTTCTCTTCAGTAGTGTTTGTGGTATTTTTTTATATATAATTTCCCCAGTTGTTCTCATTCTTCTTCTTCTTCTTCTTCTTCGAGAGAGAGAGAGAGAGAGAGAGAGAGAGAGAGAGAGAGAGAGAGAGAGAGAGAGAGAGAGAGAGAGAGAGAGAGAGAGAGAGAGAGAGAGAGAAAGAAAGAGAGAGAGAGAGCGAGCGAGCGAGCGAGAGAGAGAGATAATAATGAGAGCAAACAAGAGAGAAATGGAAATTGAGAGAAAGAGATAACAGATAACGGGAGAGAAATAGAAGGGTAATCAGAAAAAGCAGAATTCTGTGACTGGAGGAATGCAAACCAGTTATTCGGGAAACAAAAATCTATAAAAATGTATAATTGGTCGCGAAGTGGGAATTTCTGGTGGGAATTCGGGCCATGCGAACGAGTGTTCCCGTTGAAGTTGGAACGATTCCAAATGTTATTCAGTTATCTTTCCATTCCGCCATATATATATGTATATGCCTCCGCCCTAACAGAATATCGTTTGGGTCGATTGTCGATGTTTTCATTTCTTTTTTTATTTTGCCGATATGTCTCCCTGTCTCTCTTCTTTATTCCTATGTACATATATTATCTCTTTAGTCACTGTATTTATACCATCGGTTTCTCTATGTTTATCGATTATCTATTTATTGCGAAATATGCCTAATTATTTATCTCTACATTTATTTGTCTGTCTGTCCACCTAATCGGGTATATTCCAAGATAATTGAGGTACTGAACATTCAAATGTCTCAGGGTTGAGCAGGTCAGTGACCTGATTTCATGGGTAGTGGGCGGAGAGGTCAAGGTAGATTGCAGTAAGTGTGTGTGTGTGTGTTTGTGCGTGTGTATGTGCGTGGGTGTGTGTGTGTGTGCATGTGCGTGTGTGTGCTTGTCTGTGCGTGTCTGCGCGTGTGTGTTGAACATGTATATACATAGGCGCTTTTACCCCTGAAAAACAACTTATTGCTTCTTGTTTAGAATAAAAGAACGTATGAAACCCAATGATATAAAAGTAAATAATTCCAAATAGTGAAAAGACAAACAAAGCATAATGGAGCCAGTCGAAAGCACTTCATCTTCGGCCTCGTTATCCTGGGAAATGTAATTGGTAAATTTACTCGTCTTTCCAAAGGTAAACTGCGGCACGGACCTTACTTAGGCATATTAGGAAACGGAAAAAGAATAAGGGAGATTTGTAGATGGCCGGATTGCATGCTGAGCGATTCGTGTTCACAGAGTTCATTCAGATACACACGCATGTCATGAATATGTACACGATACATGCGCGTACATACACAGACATTCAGACACACAAGTACAAACAGATTCACGCGCAGACACTCACGGATGGAGACATACGTACATACACATACATGAACATGCACATTCGCGTACGGACATACACACATACGCCCACGAACATATAAACATCCGCAAAGACACATAGCTCGCGTAGACAAAGACACTCCATCCGCATCTTTTATAATTTAACCACATCTAAATTACGCCCAGAGCCTTTCCTCATCCGCACGCAATCCACATCCACATCCGCTTCCCCCCCCCCCCCCCCCTTTGCCCTTGCAAGATAAGGGAGGACAGGAAATTCAATAAGATTAGTAAAGGGAATGGAAAGTAAAGAAGGGAGATACAGAACTTAGTGGTCTAATTTTTAGAGTTTATTTACTGTTGATTTATCCTTTTATTATTCACAATACTAACATTTAAGTTATCCGTACAGAGCCCCACTCGTGCTCGAAGTATAGGGGAGAGGGAAAGAGTTATGGGCTCAGGGGTAGGGGTACACAGCTAGGGGGGAGGGGGGTAAGCAGCCTGAGGGGGGTAGTAAAACGACTTGGAGCGACGTAGTGTACACAGGCGTGATAGCAGATCGCACAGATCCGAGGGCGTGTGTATCTCTTATCTAGTGTGCACACGCGCGCGCACACGACGCTGTTTGGCTTGGCTTTATGGCGGCTGTGTCTTTCGGGGGCGCTCCTGGTCTCTTCCAAATCTGTTTTTTTATTCTTTTTCCCTTTTTTCACGAATTCACTATTCCTTTCTTGTTTTCTTTTTACTCTGTACACTTACACAAATGTACTCTCACACTTACACTCTCACGTATATACACTCACGCTTACACACACATGCTTCTACACTCACGGTTACACACGCACGCTTACACACACACACGCTTACACACACACACACACACACACACTTCTATATGTATATGTATACTTACAAATATATATATATATATATATATATATATATATATATATATATATATATATATATTTATTTATTTATATGTTTATACACCCTCGTAAATAGTGATGGAGACCGCCCTCCCCACCACCCAGCGCCGCACAACCCCCCCCCCTCCGCGTCAACGAGAGTGACTGGCTCCTTACCCCTGCTAGTTCCTGCTGCTGCTCTCCCCCTTTATCCTGCCCTCTCCCCCTATTTCTCATTTCTGTCAGCTGCCACTTGTCCCCCCTACACCCCCACCCCCTTCCCCCTACCACTTCCCTACCTGCCGACGCCAGAGCAAACAAACAGCCTTGTTGGTTGGCATACATGGGTATACTGATATAGCTGGGTGGGTATAGGCACCTGGGCCTGGGTAGGAGATAAGGGTACTTTGGGAGAGAGAGAGAGAGAGAGAGAGAGAGAGAGAGAGAGAGAGAGAGAGAGAGAGAGAGAGAGAGAGAGAGAGAGAGAGAGAGAGGGAGAGAGAGAGAGGGAGAGAGAGAGAGGGAGAGAGAGAGGGAGAGAGAAGAGAGAGGGGAGAGAGAGAGGGAGAGAGAGAGAGAGAGAGAGAGAGAGGAGAGAGAGGGGAGAAGAGAGAGAGAGAGAGAGAGAGAGAGAGAGAGAGAGAGAGAGAGAGAGAGAGAGAGAGAGAGAGAGAGAGAACGAGCGAAAGAGAGAGCGAGAGAGAGAGAGAGAGTAGGGAGGGGGAGGAGAAAAATATAGAGAACGAATGAATGACTAAATGGGAAAAAAACATAGTTTCTAATTAAAATGTAATGTTATAAAATTAAAGAACGAAGAGTAGCTTTATTTTCTCATCACAACCTTATAAGACTCCACCGATCTACCGAGAGAAAGAAAAGGGGATCCCAGAAGACCTTAACAAGGGTTATGTACGTACCTTAGTGGGCAGTCAGGGGAGGAAATTAGGAAGGTAAAGGTCGGTAGAAGGACCTTTACGTTTTGCTGGGCGAGCGGGCGATGGTGTGCGTGTGCGTGTGTGTGTGTGTGTGTGTGTGTGTGTGTGTGTGTGTGTGTGTGTGTGTGTGTGTGTGTGTGTGTGTGTGTGTGTGTGGTTGGGTGTTTGCGTGTTTGCGTGTGAGTGAGTGTGTGTGTGTGTGTGTGTGTGTGTGTGTGTGTGTGTGTGTGTGTGTGTGTGTGTGTGTGTGTGTGTGTGTGCGTGTGTGTGTTTGCGTGTGAGTGAGTGAGTGAGTGTGTGTGTGTGTGTGTGTGTGTGTGTGTGTGTGTGTGTGTGTGTGTGTGTGTGTGTGTGTATGTGTGTGTGTGTGTGTGTGTGTTTGCGTGTGAGTGAGTGAGTGGGTGAGTGAGTGAGTGAGTGAGTGAGAGAGGGAGAGGGAGAAACTGAAGAGAATAAAGTAGCGATATGGAATAAGAGGTCGGTTGAGAAAGTAGGTTAAAGGACAAGGTGGGCGGGTGGGTGGGTGTGGGCGTTGATAGTCCAGTTGGTATTTCCCTTCACATGATGATATTAATTATGATAATGATATTGATAACAACTGCAGCCACACGCATTCCACATACTGCATGTCATCACCGCAGCTTCACATCAATAGGGACTATCAGCTCCACATCACCACGATTTATTGCCTCAGCTCCATATCACCCCAATTCCACACCATAATAGTCCTACACCACCGCAGATCAACACCACCACAGAACCACACCACCACAGATCCACACCACTCCGTCACATTAGCTCATTGATATAACGTATCTCCATGCCAGTCCCGTTTCATCACACAAAATCCACATCAAACAAAACTCATTAACCACAGCTCCACATCACCACATTATTCCTGTTCCACATCACTACAGCTTATCACCGCATGACTTCCATCAAACAACCACTTAAGGCGAATATAAAGTGCCACACACCAGGATCTAAACAGTGCTAAGCCACCACCACTCGCTTTGGCCAAGTTTCCCTCGTGGGTGGTACTGCATGACCGACTCTTTGGTCATGCAGCGGAAGGGTGGTTGTTGTCTGAAGGTCATGCAGGC